TTTGACCGGCTTTTTTGATCTTCTTAATCTCCTGTCATTCCAATCAATTTAAACTTCTTTCATTTGTGATATTCATTATTCATGTATACCTCTTTAGAAATTTACAATTAAGATGTGTCCCTGACTATATATTTGGATAGTACTTTAAGTTTTCTAGAACTATTTTCCTCCCTTTTAAACTGAAGTGCTTATGGACTGTTAGGTGAAATTCGATTTTAACAGCTGTATATACTGTAAAGCAAGTCATTAATACAAAGCAGTTCGTTACTTTGCCCATATCCCCCAGTGGGTCAGTTTACAACGCAAAAATCAAAAATTCGATTCCCTGTAGTGAATATAGTGCAGATAGCCCAACAGTAACCTAATGTGGCATTTTAAGGATCACTGATTTACATTCGAGTAATTGGATAAGATCTGCAAAATAACAGGAAGTTCAACAAAAAAGTTTTGCAATGTTAAACTGATGTTTTTTTTATTTCAACCGAATTTCAAGTAAAGGAAAATACTATACACAACGTAATCTTTGTTTAATACAAAACACAATCGAAATAACGAATGTGTTAAAGGAGGACAGTGCTTTTACTAGATCTCTAAGAAGTCTGCCAGTTTCCATAGCAGCTTGCAATTATGTGAATACTTTTTACAGACCAAGAAAGTATATTATCATTTATACAGTTCTACAACGCTATCCTTCTTCAAACGCGTGCATTCCCTACGTCAATGTTGGTTATTCCAATTGGGAAAAATGGTGGGTGAACTCTCAAGATTTCATCTGTGGAAAAAGATTGTTGCTTGTCTTTGCATATCATGTTATTATACATCAATATTTTCTCCGAGAAAGTGTGTAAATAACCTAAAACAAAACGTAACTAGATGAAAGTTTGTTTTTTGTTTGTTTTTAATTATGCACAAAGCTACACAAGGGTCATCTGTGCTCTGCCCACCACGGGTATCGAAACCCGGTTTCTAGCGTCGTAAGTCCGCAGACATGCCGCTGTGCCACTAGAGGGCTAGATGAAAGAAATTTTGTCATTTCCTTTATCAAAGTTCTAATCTAAACCTACATAAACTTGTATGCATTAACATTTTGAGGTCAACTTAGGAGTTAACTATAGGGGGTAGAAAATACCTAGTATACCTGTATACTACAGGAATTCTTACAAAGAAACATTTGTTTTGTATGCTAGCGATTTATTTCTTGAAAAAAAAGTAAAAATTAATATATATATATATATAGAAACAAACTAAAGTATACTTCCTTGGAGGATAGTATAAAATAAAACAAAAATGTGAATAAAAAGCTTACATTGTTATTTTTTATCTATTTCACTTCTTTAGAGTAAAAACCACATAACGGAAGAAACCTTACAGCACACACGAGAAACAAATCTGTATACACGCTTAACCTTTATTAAGACATCAACTTTGTCGCCTTTTATTTTAGTTTCAGCGTCCTGTAAATTCTAAATATTAGAGGTTGGTTGGTTATTTTAGAGCAAAGCTACACTGGGCTATCTGCTGCGTCCACCGCGGGGGATCAAATCCCGGATTTTAACGTTGTAAATCAATAAACTTACCGCTGTCCTATCAGGGAACAAATATTAAAGATTAAGTGCTGCATTCAATTTTTATTCAATAACTTTTTACCAACTTCTTTCATTTTTGTTGTTAAAACCAAAGAGCATATATTTCAGAGAAGACTCCATTAAAAATATAAAATTTACTTTATTTTTTTTGTTATATTTTGTGCTTTTAAGAAGATTAGGATCATCTAGACATGCACATTTCTCTAACTTTCGTCAGCTTATTTTTTCGAAACTACAGATAGTGAGAAGTGCATGTTGTGGTTTCTGGTGGTGCTTATCTAACTTGAATGAGTTCGTTATCCAAAAGCACCGAGTATGGCATAGAGCAGTGGTCGGCAACTTTTTTTGATCGCGGGTCAAGTATTTTTTTTTGGAAAAATTTATCATTGTGTTGGGTAAGTGATAATCATATAATTATTAATGCCGGTACATGTATTTAAAATGTGTA